GGGGGGCAGCTGCAGGCTGCGGCCACTACCCTTCGGCTCTCTGTGGTGGCTCCCGGCGCGCAGCTATGGGGGTGGGGGTGGGGCTAAAATGTCACGGCATGTTTGTTTGTTTAGCAATGATTCATTGAACACTCATTTAACAAGAAGACTAACTCGGCTTTGGTGTTATTGTTTTAAGCATTCGAATACAATTATTACAGCATTCGAATGTAATTATCCCAATTCGTCTGACTATACCTTCTTTCTTTTCGTTAAGAAAATCACCGCTTTAAAAAAAATCGAGTGTACGTTTGGATGACATCTGTTAGATAGGCATTTCATTATCTACTATGTAGGACTAAAGGATCAAATCAATCACGACTGCAACTCCTAGCCCATAACAGATCAACGCCCAATTGGCTGTCCCCCCGACTTGCGAGTTGGCCCCGCCACATTCGCCATGCTGCGGGTAAAATCACACGACCGTCTCATGTGGCGGTGTTATTTGCACGTGCGCGCCGGTCTTTTGCAAACAAATTACCCAAAGCTGGGATTAGATTTCGGGTCTGCCGTGATCCATCGAAAGCATCTGTGCAAACAGACGTCAGACGGTAGCCTGGTGCTGCCGGGCGTAACCCAAAACCACACTGAGAACGAGACAGAATATACTTAAGAATGGGTCAAGCTTTGTACCAGTATATTCAGCTCTCACACAGCTTACTTGAATAATGGCGAGGATCCCGATTGTGGTAAGCCTCAGCACTCAGCGGCAAGCAAAGCCACGGCTCACTTCGGGACAACAGAGCACAGCGCACACTAACTGCGAAATGCAACTTGTTCGTACATCTCGTAATGCGTAGTGATCTGTACAGTGTGTCAGGGCTACAGCAGAGTGCAGCCCTCGTGGCGCTGCTGTTTCAGGCGTGTGGTACAAATGTATGAACGTAGTAAATAATGCCATGCGTGGTAGGCTTCGCCCTGATGCTGAAGGCTAACGCCAGGGAGGGCAGGGTGGTGCTCCTGGAGGTCAGGATGGTCCTGGAGGCTGCGGTGGTCCCGACGGCCCTGGAGGACGCAATCGTTCATAGGGACCTCCTCCCTGTAACGGCAGCGATTTCCAGGGACCAGGGGGTGGACGGGGATCGGAGAGCTCCATGAAAACAACCAGTGCCTCCAAACCCCTTACAAAAGCACTGCTTCTTCCGACAGCGAATAGGCTTTTTTTAATGCAATAAATATTTGACAATCGTGATATTTTTGGTTTTTGTTGAAGATTACCGTTGGAAAGTGTTGGACATGAATGTCGTCCGTCACTTTTCGAAATATCCCGCTGTCATCCTATATCTCCCATGGGCCAGATGCTCAGGCCTCCCTTCCGGCACACTCCCTCGTTTGTTGTTAAACGTGCTTGCAGCCGAAATGGTCTGCTGAGGTTAAGTTTACTCTAACATTAGTTTTTAAAAGAAATATTGAGTAGTTATAATGACTGTCATGTGCCGTTTGGTACGTAGACAAATGTCTCATGGAAACACCAGGGCCCTGGCCTCTTACCTTTTGCAACGACAGAAATCGGGTTTAGCGGATCCCATTTCATCTTTTCCTCAGACATACTTTGGTAAGAATTTAAGTATCGCAATGACACTATTTTTTCGATTTGTCTTACTGAAATATTCTGTCATATTCAACCCTACCATCATTGTGAATAAGTTACTGTGAGAAATTTCCCTACCTATCCTTACTCTGTCCATACTTAATGTCATTGTGATACAACTATTAAATGTGAACTTTTCCCCTGCTAGTTATGCTATTGATGGTAGTGGAATCTATTTTCAGAGTCATGCTGTTATATAATTTTAAAAATATTAATTTACTTACAGTGTCACAAAAACATACTAGTAAAAATGTGTCCCATCCTCCTCCTCCTCCTCAAAGAAACAAATATTTGTCTTACCCAGACATGTTACAAATTAGACGGGAAGAGGCCCAAAGAACTATCTTGGTGGAAATTGAAGGGATTAAAGACTCTGGTGGCCTCAGGACTTTCTGCGAACAATTCGGACGTGTAAAGAAATACTACCTTTACAGGTCGTCTGGAAAGGTATTTGGAAGTTCAAATACGTATTGCAACTCTACTACGATTCAATTTACTAAATTTAAAACAATACCTTTGTTTACAGAACTTTGTATTAGTGGAGTTTGAGAATGGATTAGCAAAGAATTCTGCTATTAACACCTGCCTCCATTCTAAAGACCCACAATCTATACCTGTCACATCGCCTTTTCTCTACTACTTTCACTCAGAAACCTCTTCTGGTAACATCCTGCCAGACAGCACAAAAGATCTCCTTTCTAATGATGATCTAATTCTTCAAGAACTCCAGAGTCTTCAATGTAATGAAAAAGTAAGAAATAGCTTTTCCTTTCAATGAGTCATCAGTGAGGGTGCAATATTGCTTTAATGTACCTTTTGTGTTTTCAGAGTCGCCTACAAACAGAAATAAGCCATTTGCACAAGAAATCCCAAATATCTGATTTAAGTGTTAGACTTCGCTTCTTTACTTGCCATCAATTGGACTTAGCTCTGAGTGGTCTATTTTCTGGGGTAAGAGCTCTTCCTTTTGGATCCTCATTGTGTGGATTTGGACGTAATTCAGGAGATCTTGATATTTTCCTACATTTTAGAAAAAGACTGCTCGCGAATGTAAGTATTCTACATGGATTTATGATTTGACAGCTAATAATATACTGTCTAGTAATGTTCTAAATTGTTTGTTTTTAACTCAAGAACAATGCTAGTAAAAAGTCTCAGTTATACTTCCTCACCAAAGCCTCTATTAAAGAGAAGAATCTACAACTAAAACTCATTGGTGACTTGATAAGTATTATGTTGCCCGGGTGCACAGGAGTCAATAGCATTCTTTCTGCCAGAGTGCCAATAATAAAATACAGACATTCACTATCAAATCTTGAATGTGACGTTAACAACAGCGCAGCGTACGTATTATCCTGCTTTTCAGATGGAATCCGAAAATCTGTTGGAATAGTATGTAGTTTGCACCAATAAAATATTATGAAACTTTTTTTTTATTGCACATTGTTTGCTTGTCGTAAGCCTTTGCATGACATCTTCATGATCTCTTGCGGTGGATTTTTATTGTATAATTGTATAATGAGGTTTGCTTATGTACTTTATAATTATCTTTTCTTTTCTTTTCTGTTATACCTTAAGGTCTGGAATTGATTTGACACACATTTTGTGGCTAATGAACCACTGGGATTCAAGACTGGCTCCTCTTGTATTTGCAATCAGGATGTGGGCTGCACAAAACAACATTTGTGTCAAAAAACCTGGTCCATTACTAACAAACTTTGCCTTGACAATTATGATAATATTTTTCTTACAAAGTCAGAATATATTACCAAGCTTACATTCTCTACAAAATGTGAAAGGTAATTGACCTTTTAAAATGTTGGTATTCAGCCGGTGTCCTTTTAACCAAGTTGATCTCTTTTCCAGGTGCAGCACCTAGCTTGGATCCTCGATCAGATTTGGTATTCCCAGACATTAAGAAAATACCTCCAAATATGTTATTAACAACCAACTCTAGTAAAGATGGTGTTGATACATTGTTATTTTCTTTCTTCAATTTCTACTCTAACTTTGATTTTGAAAAGCAAAAAATATCCATATACCATGGAAAAGCTGTACCAAAAGTATTAGACAAACCTCTAGAAATTGAGAATCCAGTTGATCCATCTCTGAATATATCTCAAAATGTAATTAACATTTTAGCACATTGATATCTTGTAGTTTAGTTTTGTCTGTTCTAAAATTTAGTCTTTTCCCGTGTTTTAGGTTTCCCGGGATGGCTTGAAGATGTTAAAGAGGGGTCTACAAGATGCTAGAACAGCTTTAGGGGACAATTACGCATCACTAAGTTTGAGAGTTATTCTACCTAATGTTAATTTACCACCAGGCGTACCACTGAATGAGTCAAGGTAATTTGTTCACAGTACACATGAGTTTAACTATCTAAAATGTTTAAACTTGTAATATCCTGCAATTCCACTTTTCAGGCCTCACTCTATTAAGAACAATAGATATTTATAAATCTCAATAGCAAATAGATTTTTTATTATTCATTTCCTTATTCATCCAAGAGTTGACAAAGTCACTTCCTGAAACAGGAATGTTTTAAACAGTACGAGAACAAAGTTATTCAAAATGTACAGACCAATGATACTGAGTTAAAACCAGACAGAAAATGTTACATGCTGCAATCACTTGGTAATAACACTTGCTTTAAATGCTTTTAACATGAACTTTGTTGCCACTGAATGTCACTTAGTGGCTCTCTCCTTTTTTACCCGCAACTCTTTTGAAGTCTGTCATATTTGTAGTCTCAATTGGCGACCCAATGAAAGAGAGATGTTGGATCCTTGTAGTTTCTTCATTTCCTTGATTATTTCGTACAAACAACTGAACATTCTGAACATTTTGGAATTTAACATACCGTAAATTAATTGGGGTCCCACTCAGATCTTCAGGCTTTAAACTGGCAAGACAAAGAATATAATTGTTACTGTAGTCTGGAATCTATTAAAACATGACACACACACTAAGAAAATAAATGCTACTTACTCAAGTTCTTGCACAGGTTGGTTAGAATCAGCTGTATCAAAATCAAGTGTTCTGGGTTGGTTGATGAAAATTTTCACAATTTTGGGGCCTTTGTCACTAGGTGCCTTGATTTTGAGAGAGTGCAATTTAATTGCTTGATTGAATGCAACTGATATGATGAGCTAAAACAATACCAAAAGAGGAAATTAGAGGCCATTCTAAAGGCCAAATAAAAAAAAGGGGAAACAAATTAAACAATCAACACTTACTTGCTCATCACAATCAGACTCAAGAAAGGTTGGGCTGTTGTTCGTACAATTGGTAAATGGATGATCATCAGCTTCGTTCAAGCATTCACATTGGCTTTTGGAGATAAAAGGGCTGAGATCCATCTAAAAAGGTGGCCACAGTTCAAATAAAAAAGTATTATGAAAGCACAAATGTCAACTTAATTATTAGAAATTCAATAATCCTTGTGTCGTTCAAGTAATGGAACTTACGTGTCCCGCAACACCATCTTCTTCTTCATCTTCAGCATCACCAGAACCATACAATTGCTGAATTTTGCTTTCCAGCCCGCTTGGATTTGCTCCCTGCATACGGTCTACCTTGGTCTAACAAAAGGCAACAAAATTTAAAAGTTCATACATAATTTAACCAAAACTATTTTTAATACAGTGAAATAAGATTGGATTATTTACCTTGTTCCTGTAAAATATAAAGGTAGGCATCGCTGAAACTCCTTGAGCAGCTGCTGTTTCTTGACATTTGTCAACGTCCACTTTCAAGAAAACTGCCCGGGGATATTTAGATGAGAGCTGCTCAAAAACAGGGGCAATCATCTGGCATGGTCCACACCTGGAAGAGAATAATAGTTCGAAACAATCACTCACTACAACAATAACAAAATTTGACAGGCAGAGCAGCAAAGTAAAGTCAGCTGAGGTGCACAGGTTATGTAAGAAAACTTGTTCAAAAAGTAAATAAATAACTAAACGTTGATGGGGAAGAAATTTAAAAAGAAAAGAAATTGCATCACATAGACTTTTATCAAATTTCCTCAAAGAGCGGGTCAAGTGATATTTATCGCAGAAACTTACCATGTCGCTGTGAAATCGACAACAACTAACTTAGGTCCGGCTGCCGATAACTCTCCATGGAAATGGCTATCGTCATTGATAACTCGCACAGCCATGTTAGCAGTTTTCGCACAGGATTGACAGAAACAAATTGCAGAATTCCACTGAAATCCTGAAATTAACGGTCGGAAACTGAGGGATGATGATGACTGGCAGGTCACTGTTGTATGTCACTTCCCCCAAACGCAATCGAACTTTGCCCCAATCACAAGTGGATCACATTGATATTAATGTTACCGTTACCGGAGCTCCGCTGCGAGCGCTGCGAGAGTGCCGCGGCCGCGAGCTAACGTCCTTACGTCACTGCCTCGTTAATTTTTTTTAAATAAAAAAGCAATACAATCTGGCTTTTGTGGCTTTTCATTAAGTAAGTGATAGCTAAAACTCGATACCCAATTGAGTTTAAACTCTTTTTTCTTGCTCCAACATTGTTTTCATACCAAAAAAGTCTCCTCCTATCCTAGTAGTCTCGTTGCATGCAACTTCGCCCGCGCTTCAGACCGGGGTTTTGTATTTATCTGAATTTGTTATTTTGGTTCAGTGTGTCAGTTCATTCAAAGCAGTTCAATCATACGCAATCTCGACCAGAGCCTCTGAATCTGCTTGTTTTACATATATCGTCTATCCATCGCTTCGGTGCTTCGGTATGATTTCTACTTTTCCGTATCTGTTGTTTTCCAAGTATCTTGTTACATGAAAGGTTATTGTTTCACTTTTGAAGGGTGTTTTAAATAAATTAAAATGACTCGCCTTAGAGCTCTGAATGAGAGTTCATCTGATGATAGTGAAGAGGAGAATGAAGAGAGGGAAACTATTGAAGCTCAGGTAACTTGCCCAAGACATGTCTATCATAAAAGCCGTCAGAACAATGTCAAAATCAATTTTAACTTTTTCTTCTGTTTCTTTGATTAAGGAGGAGCGAGCCTTTTCACTGTACAAGAAGGCTTTGGAACTTCGACAGAACGAAAATTACTCAGAAGCAGAAAAGTTGTTTATATCTCTATTGAATGATGATTTTTTAGCCGATGTAAATTTTATCTTTGTGAAGCTTGATTATTCTTTTCTTTTTGTGATATTATGTTATCAAAAGTTCAAATTTAAACTATGTTTTACCTAATCTGCAGGTATGTCCCGAGGATCTGCCTTCAGGCGCAGATGGACTAGTTCGTCCTGCAGTTGCTTTGAAATATGCATGTTTGAAGAACCTAGGCAATGTGCTTGTTCTTCAGAAACGTCCTGAAGATGGTCTGAAATGCTTTATGCAGGTATGTTCTTTCAAGCCACTCATATGACTCGTTGGATTTTCTCTCACAAGACACCAGCTTACCACTTTTCTTACAGGCTGTAGAGCTTGATGAATCAGATATCACAATGTGGCATCAGATGGGAAGTTTAGCACTTCAAATAGATGATTTCCAGTTAGCAAGCCAAGCCTTCCAAGAGGTATTTTTGTCTGACTTATTATCGTTTTCTATGCAGGCAGGGTGCATCCGTTTTTAGGCATACTTGATGCAAAGAGGCCAAATTTGTGTTTTCAGGGTTTGCGGTGCAATGCTAATCACTGGCCATGCTTGGATTCCCTATTACCTGTTCTATATGCATTGAATGACTACCTGGGATGTTTACTACTTGTATCCCGAGCCCTGAATCTTGATCCAGAATACCCTCAGGCTCTGGCGCTCCGTGACCAAATTTTTAAAGAAGATCCTAGCCTGGTTACCAATTTTAAGGAATTCTTCCCAGACGAAATGTAATTGTTGAGTCACTATTTAATTATTTTTTTATAGGTTGTTAAGTATACACCTTTCTTCCAACTTATGATGGGATTAATAAACTCATGATTTTCTTTGTTTAGAGATGTTTCAGGATTAAAGTCTAATTTAGAAGATGAGACAGCATCAAGGGCCATTGCACATGCATTGTCCCTTCAAGAACGCTACTTTGTCAAAAATGCTTTTCATTCGGATATTATTGTTGACCTGGAATGCAAAAAAGTTATTTCTAAACTCTCAAGGAATACTTGGGAAGAACTCGGTAAAAGTCTCCTTCAAACATACAATACCGTTAGCAGCTCTCCAGATAAGGTGCACATTAGAATAAGAAAAATAACCACATAAATTTTGGTTAAAATTTTCAAAATGTTACTCTATTTTTTTATTTTCAAGAGCTTCCTACATCTTGTGGAAATCACTACTTCAGAGTCTGCAAACATTAGTGATGCAGAAGAACTTAAAAAATTAAATACTGTATGTGATAGTGCCTTAGCCGTAGGAGCTGTTGATGTAGAAATTGAAGCTGTCGATGTAGACAGTGAACAGGATGGCAAGGGAGAGGACCAAACTGAAGAGGATGCTACGGAGGCTTCAGGTTAATTTCATATCAATCAATTTTGTTTTGCCTTGCCACATTTTTGTCAGCTACCTATCTTGTTTTTCAATTCACTCTTGTCCTACTGTTCAAAAGGTCTAGAAGAGGAGGTAAAGGGCAGCAGAAACCCTCCTCAAAATTCACCTGGATTAAAAAGAAAAAGGAAGCGTAATTCTACCAATTTGATGGATCAGTGGAGTAAACGGCGTTCGGGTAGACGTGCTGGACGGAAAGTTGAAGATCGAGAAGAATCTAATCTAGCCTCACGCTTTCGTTCCTTTCTTCCTGAAACACTTTTGTAAGTTTTTGTTAGTTTTGTTCTCTTGCAAAATTTATTTTGATGGTGGAAATAAAATAATGAATCATTTTCTCCAGATCAAAGGATCTTGAAGCAGAGATAGCAAAAGCAAGTAAGCGGCGTCCTATTCGTGATCTAGTTGATGATTGGGGCGATAACTCAATGGATACAGTGGAATTATGCCGCCTTCTTCAGGAACGTGATGCTAAAGATGAACATCAGCGAAAATTAAAGCAAAATTCGAAGGAAACTTTCTCGGAGTATGACATGTTAGTTACTTTATTCATTAGGTAATGCAGTCACCTATTGAATTAATTATGTTTTGTTTTTCAGGCGGTTAAAGCGAGAAAATTATTTTGAAACCAACAATGAAAGCTCAGATGTCTGTCTGTTTTTGGAACAGTATTGCTTAGGGACACACAATATTATTGAACTAATCACTAACTTTATAAAGCTATTGGCTGGAAAAAATTCTATTACTTGGCCCTCAGGCTTGGTGCCTGTATACACTGAAGCATATGAATGTATGAGGTCAGTTGATGTTAAATCTGCTGGTGATCCCTACACTATGTATTACTAAGCTATTAGTTGGTGCCTAAGACTTGGCTTTATACTGCAGGAAACATATACCTTTCTACTCGCCCTTTAATATATCAGACTCTAATGACATTGATTTGAGAGATTTGTATGCATCATTGCTATATTGTGAACTTTATGTTGATTTATTGCAACAGAAGAACCTCAACAACCAAGATATTCTTAGGTTTGTAGAACCTACTCTTATGTTTTTACAACTAAAATTTTTTGGCTTTTTAAAATAATATGTTTTTCTGTCTTTTTAAAACTTGCAGTGAAAATGGAATTGTTTTAGCTGAAGCATTGGGGAATGTAATGCTCTTAACCGGTCTGAACCATATCTTCTCCTCAACCTCAGATCAAAGCATGGTGATGGTGCGAACCCATTGGCTGAGAGTTCACTTATTTCTATTGCAAGAACACTCGTCTTTGGCAATACATTCCTTACAAGATGTAAGTGAACTTTTTAAAAATTATTTTAAAAAGGTCATTTTAACTAACAATTATGTTACTGTTTCTCCCTCTTATTTTCTTTTTCCTTCCTTATGGTTTAGGTTTTAGAAAGCTTAGAAATGATTGAGGCTGAAGAAAAATTGCATGAAAAAGATCGAATTAGTAAATCTGATGGCAAAGCACACAAGGATGTGCTAGTAGATGGTTTCAGTTTGGAACAAGGTGTTAAGGTTGAAGGAAGCAGTTTAAAAGCAAATGATGAAAAAGATGTTGATTCACCTGAGAATGAATCCAATACAGAACATAGTTCACAAGCCACTTTGGCAAAAGATGAAGCTGTATCAAGAATGGTATCTAATTTGTTACCTTCAAACCAGCCTGAAGAAAAAGAAACTTCAAAATTGGATCCTACTGTCACATTTGACCCCTGTGGGAAGATCTTAGAAGCTACAAGCTTCTTAGAGGAGAAAAATAACAAGGATAGCTGTCTTCTGAAGCCAAACCAAGAAGATGAATGTATGGAAATTTGTACAGAAAACAGAAGAGAGACAGTCTGTCCTGTGGATGTCACTTCAAATAGTGGCTATATGGCTGATGAATGCATTCCAGAAAAAGTACTTGCTGCAGATACAACAAGTGGGGCAGTAGGTTCTGAAACTTTACCAGATTTGAAACTGGAAGAAGTGAAACATAAAACATCCAAAACAGCTGATGTTCAGCAAACTCTCAACCAATGTGGTTCTCCTTCAGAGATTCTAGTCACTGATCAGAATATTTCAATTGAGGAAGTCTCCATGACTTTAGAACCTCTAAAAGCAACGGACAAAATTACAGATGAAGTGCAAGCTGCACTGTCTTCGAAAGATTCTAATTCTCCTGAAGAAGTTCAAAAAATAAAAGAAAGGGTGTCACAAGCTGAACCGGTCTCTGAGGATTCTGATTCTGTTAAAAAGAAACAACAGGAACTTTTGGGCGATGGTGCATCTATTGAATTGACAGAACATTCTAAAGAAGAAATTTTAAGTAATCAGTCTTCACCAAAATGTGGTTTTACTGAAGCTATATGCAAAGTTACAGAAATGAAAGAGGAGGAAAGAGACTTTAGTAGCTCTTCTACATCTGCAAATGTGATTCCAGCAAATGAACCTGCAAAGCAACTTTTAAATGATACAGAATGTGTTGAAGTCACAAGTCAGATTGTAGAAGTAGTACCAGCTAAGCCAACATGTCATGCTTCTAGTTCTGGTTCTGATTTATGTGACCCAAATCAGGAAACTATGGAACAGCTCAAAGAAAACTGTGCAAAAGAAAGTAAGAGCTCTCTAAATAAGAAAATTATTCCCACTACTGATGATGATATGGCACCAGAATTAGAATCAAATGTGGAACAGATTGTTGAGAAATTACCTGTGAACCAAGGCGATAGTGAGACTGTATCAATTGCCGATGCAGTGGATGTTTCCAAAAGTGCAGAACCACTTAAAAATCTCACAAATCCGTCCACAGTTAGTGAAAGTAAAGCTACAAGGGAAGAAGAAGAAAAGTCCACTGATTCATCAGTAACTATAACAAAGCCAAAGTACCAAATATTTCTACCAAACTGTCGTCATAATCAAGATATCAACAAGAGAGCTGCTCAAAAACTCCTCACTTCTTTAACCAGGTATCTATTACAGTTTACTTTAAAACAATTTGTGTCCCAAAACTTGTAAAACCAATTTTATTTGTTTTCAGGCAACAGCAACTGAGCGAAGTTGATGATTTGTATAGTTCTGGTCAGTATGAAATCTTAGCCAGCAGTTTGACAGAGTGTTTCAAGTATTGTGCTCAGCAGACAGACTGTGAAAATCCTGAAATTGATAACTTACCAGACCGCCCTACACAAATGGCGATGCTTTTGGACTCACTATGGCAACTTCAGAGATACAGTGTAAGTTAAATATACAACTCTCTCAAAATTCCTCCCGATCAGTGTCTTTAACCTGTGTTTTGAACAGGACTGCTTTTACTGGACTGAAGCATGTCTACATGAAGCTTTTAACCGATATCTTGGTTCAAGTGATTCTGAAAACTCCTCTCAAGATCATGATGATCAACAGATGTGGGCTACAACTGTTGAAAGACTACTGGCAGGGTTAAATGGTTGTCTTAAGGTGTCAGACTTAGCAATTTGTAAGTTAATCATTATTTTATTGTTAAATATTAATCTAAAAGTAGAAGCCATCACAAGTTCTGACCTATTTCTTTCCACTAATTTAATTTTAGTGAACAAGCTGCCAAAAACATGTCTTACTCGTCTTATTCAAACTTTGACAAGTATTCTCTGCCAGCAATTGGAACAAAATGACTGTTCAGTGGAAATGGCAATTGAGTGTACAACTCCATGGGTTATTTTGCATCGAGTCATCTTTTTTGAAGAACAAGAACTTCCTCTCCGTAAAGATGTGATACCCTCACACATGGGTGTATTGTTTACTGCTCATGAATACATGGGAAAGTGAGTAAGGACCAATATGCTCATGGTTTTTAGTATATTTAGCTTTTCATTAACACCTGTCTCTTTCTAACAGGAAATCTTTATGCTGGCTCAATGAAGGAATTCTCCTCCACCTTATATTAGATGTGGTTGTACCCCAGATACGCACTACTGAACTGAGTAATGTTCGAGATAAACTGATTCATGAAGTGGAACAAGCTATTTTATGTTTGTATGGTCATCCAAAGAAGACAAATGACAGACAAAGAAAAAAATTGCAGGTCAGTGTAAAAAAATATATATATTTGTCTGTACATGTGAAAATCTTGTCCATGTAGGTGCCTGACACCTAAAAATGAAATATTTTTCTTCCAATATAGTTCTATTTTTTACTTTTTAGGATCATAAAGTTCATCAGCATCTAGATTTGACATGGGAACGCAGTTTATTGTTACTCAAATTTTTTGAGCCAGACGAGCTTCCTTGTTTTGATTCAACAACCAAGATTAGTCCTGATGAGGAGCAACTCTTTTTACGAATTTTGAGTCTAGTTCCCATTGACTGCAGTCCAAAACGATACTTAGATAAAATGAAAGCATATTTAGAGGGTACTGTTGAGACTTTTCCAGACATACAGTGCTCCATTCCTAAAGCTGCGGAAAATTTATACTACCTTCTAGCTGATTACTATTTAAAAACATTTAAGTGGGATGCAGCAATTAGGTTTTATATGTTAGACGTCTGTATCAATCCCCATCGTTTTGACTCATGGGCAGGTATGGCTCTTGCAAGATCCACACAGATGTTTCATGATATCAATTCCTGTGACACTCTTAACAAGGATCGCCAACTCTGCCGGAAAAGGAAAGCACAGCAATGTTTTCAGGTGGCCGTTGATTTGGTTCCTGAAAATACTGTCATGCTGATTGAGTATGGAAACTTTGCCTACACAGTGCACTCATTTTGTTCTCGTCTCCTGAAAACAGTATGTCTAATTTTTATATTTATCTCATTAGTGGATTAGTCTATAGACAATGCATCCAGTGCAACCATATGTTTTGTTGCAGGAAACTGATGGTTTAAGCATGGAAATGTTCACCAAAATTGAGGAGGAAAAAGATAAAATGCTAGCCATTACTGAAAAATGTTTTAAGGCTGCGGAAAGAGTAAGGCACTATTTTAACTTATAATACTAGTTCACAGAACTGTAGAAATTAATACTAACATTCTGATTTTTGCAGCTTGACCATGATGAAAGATGGCTTCAGCAGTTCATGTTAGGGAAAGTAGCAGAAAAACGAGGGGAACGTCCTATGATATTCTTACAACATTATAGACAAGCTGCAAGGCTGTTGTTTGAATCTAACGCAGAGTATCCTTTGAGTCTAAACTATGACCCTCCTCAGCACTATGCTTTTGAAGCACACGAGGTGATTATTGATAAAGAGAGGAGCTTATCATAAATATAGCCAGTGAGCCATTGAAGGCTCAGGGCATTAGCACTAGAAAACAATCTCTACTAATATTCACCTCCTTTACAGGTGCATTATCGTCTGCATGCTTCAATCTTGAAGAGCTTAGAGCAGATGGAGGGAAAGATTTTGAGTGAGGAAATTGAAAGACTGTACAAGGAAACTCTTGAAGAGGCTGCCAAAAGTCCATTTATGGCCCCTCGAGCAACGCCTCAACTTTTCCTGTATGTACCTTTTAGATATGATTGAACTTAGAATTATTTAGGTTTGATTAAACATAGCAATTGATGACCAGTAATTGGGAGAGGTAATTTACTTTTGTATAATTTCTCAATTCAGGAATTCAAAGAGGGTTTCCCTAGACCCACTGGAGCATATGGGAAAGAAAATTAAGTTGGATGATTCTGTAGTAAGTAATAGTACTTTCCCTTGTTTGTTATATTTTTGACAGAATACAGATAAATATTTTGATTTGTAGGTTGTTGTTGATCATGAGGATTGCAAAGTAATTACAGCAGATACAAAAAGTGGTTCACTGCAATCTGATCAAGCTACTATTGAATCACATGCACAGGAGGGTGGTCCATTGAAAGAAAGAGCTGAGGTTGATTTGCGTTCATCTTATCCGTTAAAGATACCATCTCCAAACAGTTCAATTGATGTAAAGTTAAAACAAAATGACATGTCCCTTTCTATGCCTCACACTGAGCAAGCTGTCAGTATTGATCCTGGGGCTTCCTTTACTTCTAAAGAAAATTCTGATCTTGAGGTAAAAAAGAAGTCTTCAAATGCCACCCATCAATACACAGAAGTGGAATCTGATGTGGGCTTAGTTGAGCCAGCTGTGGTCCCCCTCAGTAACATGGAGAAGAATGTTAAAAGTTCATCTGTTGAGGATCCAAAACAGATCACTGTATCTGAAAAACCTAATGAAAGAGAAGTGGACCCAAGTAAAAGTAAGAACTTACAGCACATTTCTCTTGTGAGCCCTGAGACCAAATTTGAACTATTCCCCTATAATGACCCACAGTATGTCACCTCTAACTCTATTAGAAATTTGAATTTCTTTGGTTTGGGTATGGGTGTTGGTAATGTGGATTTAAGTAGACAAAAAATGCATGGCCTATCTTCTGTAGTAGCAGAGCATGACTATGCGGCACCATATACTGATGCTGAGCAAAACCCAGCTGTCCAAAAATTGAGCGATTCTAGTGTCAGCCAATGTGAAGAAGGAAACAAACATATCTACTCGCATGATCAGTTAGACTCTGGTTTGAACTTAAACCTTCTTTCTAGTAGAAATAGGGACAAGTTACGCGACTCTGTATCTATCGCTTCCTGTGATAATGTCCCCAATGTAAGTAATTATGAGCTTGTCATTGGAGAGAGTGGGCTTAGACAAGAACAAGAACTATCTACTCTGAGTGTGAAGAACAGAAAGCAAACGAGGAGTAATAATCTAAAAATATGTTGCAATCGTGCCACTGGATTCAGTGGGGTGGGCTCACCTGTTGATGGTTGTGGTGAGTTATCTCTTGTGAATGACCTGTCTGTCACTTCATTCTCATTCCTCATCACCTATCATCATTTAGTATTAATTATAAACTTCTAATTTTGACCACCTCTCTAGCCAGCAGTACTTCTACGATCCTTTTCTGTCAAAAAAATAAAATGAAAAGTGATTAATTATACAAGGCTGGATCTTTCTCTTACTCCATTAAGCTTGGGCTTTGCTATGCCTTAAAGTCAAATGCTGGGTGTAATTTCATTTGGTTTTGAGTATTATGTGTGTGTGTCCTTTTCCTTTGACTTACTCAATATTTCTCATCATATCATGTGTCACTTTTTGGTGTCTGCTTGTACATTTCTTACATTGCATGTCTCATTATATTACAACTGCAAAAACAGTATCCCTCTCATAACACCATTCCTAACTATCAAGTTGATCTTCTGTAGTATGTTATTTTGTTCTTAGTCAATGTCAACCTTTGATTTAGCTTATTTTGAAAATATCGATATTCTCACAGAAAGACTTATAATACTGTATTTATAATTACCTAAGTTTTAATCTTTTTCTTGTGTGTAATTCTGCTCAGTATCTATTTCTGAAACTGCAATTCAAGAAGCAGTCCCTTTGAAAACCAAAGATTCCTCAGCAACTTCAAATGATAAATCAGACAGCTCATCAGCCTCTTCTGGAAGTTCATCTTCTGATGACTCTAGCAGTGAGTCTGAAAATTCTAAAAATGATAAAGAATGTCAGGATAAAACTGTTTTACAGGTTAGTCTTTTTATAACAAATTACCTTATGTCAAAGGAAATATTTATTTATAGGTGATCGATCCCATATTACTGATTTACTAACATGAACCTATTTTTTCAAAACTAATTTATTTATAGGATTCATCAAAGAGCAATAAACAAACTCCAGCACCCATAGTAACCAATGAGTTGGTCGCACCTTCAAGTCAAAGAAGCTCAGGTTACAGTTTATACATACATTTTGATTTATATGTATTTTCCTATAATCTATCCTAATGTAACTCTCTCAATTACTTGCAGATCATACAGATTTGATTAACCAATGTCTAGTTGGTATAGAAGAGTGCTTAGTACGATATCCTCGACACTATAAGTCTTTATACAGATTGTGCCACTACTATTTTCATTCAAAAAGAGGCCGCAATTTACTCAAATGCCGTCAACTTCTGCTGACTGACTATCGAGTAATGAGAGCCAACAGAAACATTAATATTAATGGTCTATTCAAAAGTGGAAGCATAAATACAATGTTTAATGTATGGACAATTTTTTTAGGCTGACTAATCATTTTTACATTACCTTTTCTATACACCTGTAACCTCTGATTTTAGGATGTGTGGCGTATGCCAATCGATGAAATTGACCGAGCTGGTAGTTTTGCTTCCCATATGAGTCGTTGTGTTCATCTTTTTATGGAGCTATTGCGAGCTCAGCGGGATCATGCAACGCTCCTGAAACTTTGTATCTTTCTCAAGAGAGATCCCGAAAAAAAGGACAAGTAATAACCACTATTTTCGACATACAAGTTTTTACAACTCTTTTTCATGTTGTCAGTTAAATGAATAACAATACTTTTTGTTCAAGGAAATACTTGCGGGACAACGAACGAGCTGATTTGTCAAAACAAGCACTTGTCTTGTGTTTGGCTGCAATGCGAGAAAGTGTTAATTTAGTACGAACTACAGACAATGTCATTGAATTGTTCCGAACTGCAAAAGATGGCATTAAAGAGATGCCACAAAAAGAAGGAACTTTTAAGACTTTACTAAGCGATGCATACAAGAAATTTAAGGGCATACAGGTTGGTATATATGTATACTAGATATACTGTCTGGATATTATGTTTAAATAATTTGCAAGAAATATCTGAAACAAATCTAATGTTGACTTTGTTTCCAGGTGGAACAATCTCTCTATGATGATGCTGTCAACTTTTGCCAAAGTGAACTAAGCAGCCGCAAAGCAGCAGCTGATTTCAAGTTAAAACAGACACAAGATAGAGCCAAATTTGCACAACTTCAAGCACAGATGCAAGCCCAGGCACAAGTTCAAGTTCAAGCCCAGGCACAAACTCAGGCGCAAACCCAAGTACAAGCCCAAGTACAAGCTGCTCAAGCAATACAGGTTTCCTTCTAATATTTTTTTTTTTAAACTAAAATTTGGAAATAAGTGATAATTTTATTATGATTATTTTTTTACAGATGGGAGTGAATACAATGTCTTCAACCCTACCATTCAACACATTACAATCAAGGTTCCCCACAGGAGTCAATGCTTCCCTTGGAAATGCCTTGGCTTCTCCGTTGTTTCTGCCTCAAATGCCTGTTTACCGTGGTCGCGGTCGTCCCCCGAAAGTTCAGCAACAAACGCAACAACAACTTCACAATGCTATGATGATGGCTCAAATGATAGGTTTGGCGAATGCTGCTCATTCCTTCCCAGTTCCTACAGATTCATCAAAACCCAAGCTTATGAAACAACAGGTAAAAATTCTCAATCCAACCTTAAAGCTTATACCATTTTTACTCATTCTTTATCAACACCTACATACACCACCAACCACTTAGTGGTCGGAAGAAAGAGTATTGGTGATTGTTGTGTTTCAACAATAATCATTACTGAGGTGGAAAAGAAAAATACACTCCTACTTTTTCTGAGATGAAAGCAGTGACACTCTATCACAAATTTAAATTAAATTGGGGAAATGAGTGTATTCTTAGCTTAAAATTCATTTCTTGTTTGCCTCTCCCTTGTTTTTAAAATTTTATTCATTCTGCTTTTTTTGCTTTTTGTTTTATCATCAGAAGCAGCGCCGAGTTCAGCAACCAACTACTAGTGGTCCAAGTACAGTCGTTTCATCAATCATTAAAGACCGGCCAGCATTATCCATCACAACTTTACCCAATTCTGGCTCTACTACCACTACAACTTCCTCTAACAATGGTGCACCTGTAAGAACAGGAAGCCCATATTCTCAACCTCCAGTCCGCCCTGGCCTAAGTGGTGTGGACATACTGCCTACTGGCCAGTCAGTTTGGCAAGCAAGACCACGGCACACTTTTCCAAGACCAATGAATACCCCATTACCTGGAAACACTGATCCTAGAAGTAATCTTAATTCAAATGCGATGCGAAGAGATGGCCCAAAGCTTAAATCGTTACCAAAGGGTATGCCCGGAAACAGTGTTACTCCTCGATCATTTCCGACTCAAACAGCAGCAAGGTCTTTTGGAACCCCTTCTCAATCAAGTAATCCAGTATCACTTCTTTCACGGTTGCCAGGTCTGCAAGTTAAACAAAATCCTCAACAAGGGTTTGGGATGTATTCTGAATCCCAAAGTAAAGCCCTGAACACTCAAGAAAGAGCAGCAGCTGCAGCTCAACAGCAACTTGATAGATTACAGAAACTTCAAATGGCAAGTTCTCAATCATCTAAGCCAGCAGTATCCATTAGTAAAGTTTCTGCAACCTCATCACAAGCAGCAGTAGATAATAATGTTGCTGATGGAAGTGAAACAAAAAAAAGTAACGATCCCAACTTTGACGTCATTGTTTTAGACTGACATTAGATTTTTTTACCACTCTATGTCTGTCTATTTAAAATAAAGCTATATGCTTGTTAAGTCTGTGATATTTTTCTTACTTTGTTTCAACACATTCTAGATTTAACATTTTCTCCTTTAAGTGTATTTTAATTGATCAGTTGACTTACTGTTTAATTTGTGTTTGTCTGTGTATTGGACGAATGAGTTAAAGGTCAATGATAACTGATCATTTTGTATTTATAGAATCCAAAAATTGTAATTATTTTTTTATTGAAATTGTATAAAAAGTATTTAAAGGAACATTGTAGCTATAATAATAGGAAATTTACAGTTTTTTTTCTGTGAAAGCAATAAAAAGCTATCAAAGCTGTTGGAATGATTGATTTTGTTCTTTTCTGTGTTATGTCCTTACATTTCTGTCTTTGCAGCTACACTTGGTAAAAGATCATCAAGTTCCACAAGGACAAAATTGATAACAAAATAGAGGGAGCAAAAGATAAGGAGAAGAGCACCAATCATGATAAAAATATCCTGTGCCAAAGGAGAATGTATTAGATAGCTCAATCAAAAGATGTCGCAATAGCATATTTCAACTTTTCTCTACTCACTCTGTATAGTGATGACGAATTAATTTTCATGTCATGCTTCCTAATAGTGTCTTTGTTGACTTTCACATTTTTCTTCACGTCTTGTTTTCCTAATGAGAAGTGGTGGAGTAAAATAAACTATGTTACCACTAGTTGGATTGAGATAGAAATAGAAGAGAGCAGAAATTTCCCACAACTCACCAATGCGCTTACGGTACATTTCTGTAAAACTGGCTCTCATCTGAGCATGGCTGAAAGATCCACTATCGTTGCGACTTCTTCCCATGTTGAGAGTTGAGGTAAGATCCCGAAACACTGAAAATTGATGAAAAATAATAACAACCATTAGTACTTACAATTAGTGTGATTCTCAAAGTACTCTAGAGAATTTTTCAGCTATGAAACACATTCAAGAGAACTGATAAGTTCTCTGTAGATTCATACATCTAGAACTACAAAATATAAGCACTATAGAAAAGTTTCCAGCTATGAAACAAAATTATGAGTTCACAGTGACTTGATAATGATGTATGTAACTAAGTAACAACGGAATTAGTGGTTTCCTCACCTTAAAATATCGCAAATGTAAATAAATATTTTTCTGACAATATTCGACTTGAAAAACGCTGTAACGTTTTGCTTCTGCTAGCAGTTTACAAACAAGCGCAAGCACACACGAATAAGTCAAATAAACGTTATTCGCACTAATACCTGTGTGTAGTGGGGGGAGTGTGTTGGTGCTGTTGCTGCTAGAAAACATACTCCTGTCAGTCAGTGTTTGAAACTCATTTTATTTTAATTCCTAGGATAGCAACATGAATGATTCTAGTGAGAGGAAGTTTGAAATAGAAACCAAACTGGAGAAGGTGGGAATTTTCAGTCTCTTAACTTGAAAAATCATAGTGACATTCATCTAACCTCTTGAGAGAAAACAAACACACAACCTTACTAACCCTCTCCTTTTGATTTGGCATGATAAATGTCACTATTCGTTGCTCTTAGCTTATCTTAATATATTTATCTATTTATTCCTACAGGAGCTTGGAAATCTGAATCTCCTCAAAGAAAGAGTCAACAAGAGTAGTAGTCTTACTAAAGGGATAACAAATATTTTGTCCAGTTTTGAACATCGTCTTGCTAGACTTGAAGAGACAATTCTTCCAGTCTATAATGAAACAGGAAATCTACAGCGTCAGCAAGAGAGTATCCTTCTGACATGGTCTATTGTTTTACACAAAATTCTACCTGACTTCTCCAGTTTCTTTTATTTCCTCACCCTTGTAAGTGCCCTGAAATGTCCATGATTGACCTCAAAACAGTCCTTAACTAATCCCAGATGTTGAAAGAACTCTTATTGCACTGGAACATGTAATAAGTTTCTACAGCGTTAGCCAAGAAGTGGAGCCCATCATTCGATTAGGACCAGGCCCATCTCAAAATGGTCTGCCAACTTTGGAACCATTTTTGAAAGCAATGGATCGGCTTCAATCAGCACTAGAATATTTTGAAAAAAATAATCCTCAGAGTGTTGAATTGGAAAATGTGGTGTGTAAATTAAATATTGTTCTCAAATAGGGTTAATGGATCCATATCATCCATCATGCTTTGTAAATCAACTTTGTACCTTACTGATTCAGTCAAATGATATATATACGTATACAACATATTCCATATTACGTATATTATTTTTGACAGCCACCTTAAGACATTTTATTACAATTTCACACTTTTTCAATGCTTGCTTGTAACTGTTACATCAAGATCTTGTTAAAATTGTTGCAGACAACTCTTTTTACCTCCGGCGGTGATGCTTTAAATCGTGAATTCAAAGACATTCTCTTTCGTCACAGTAAGCCAGTTCCTCCAATAACTCTTCTGGATATTGTTGCAGCTGATGAGGGTAACTAATAGTTGGGCTTTTTTTTTTCTTTTTTTCCTCCCCAATATTTAATTAAAATTGTCTTATTGCTTCCTCTCTTTCACAGATACATCAGGAGAAGATGCTCCACCCTCTTTGTCACATTTCCCTGAAACAGTTGTACAAGAACTGGTACACATTGCAGATTGGCTTATTGCTCACAATCATGATGACTATATGAATTCCTATGCAAAAGTTCGGGCAACAGTCATGATGAAATCTTTGACACAGCTCAGGGAGCAGCAGAAAGCTCATAGTGGTGGAAGCACTCATGGCTTAAATACAGCTAGCTCTCCTATGATGGTACTGTTTAAATTGAACTCTTTGCTGTAGTTTTGGTGTACCATATAGAAATTAAACAGTTGATGTATTCTTTTATCTTGTTTGCAGCGACAAAAATTCCAAAACCGACATGAAACCCCCAACCGCAGAGCATCAAAACGCATCCAACATGTGTAAGTTGCTCATGACAGTGGGGTATTTTTGGAGTCTTGTAAAGCCAATTAATTATATATCACTCACCCAAATTTTCAGATTGGAAAAAAAAGCTAATAAAATGCTTCTTAAAGCTTCACAAACACTAGAGCAATCAACAGGTCTCACATTTGGGCCTCGAAGAGCATCATCACACTTTGGTTTGTAGTTTTTATTTTTTACTTTACTGCTCTAGTGTACTTCTAATTTGAATTGCAGAAATACAGTAACTAAGACTCTCTTACTGCAGAGCAACGGGAAGATGTTGTTGATGATGTGGAAATGGAGAATTATCTTGTTTGTGTCATGGCTCTACAAAGACTAATGCAAAGTGAAAGAATGCTAATGGCTGGAATAATTCCCTTATCACATCAGCCTCGCATATTTGAAGCAATTGTCTCTGAACCCATGGATTCAATAGTACAAGAAGGAGAGGTACCTAATATTTACCTAAAGTTAGGTTCTATTTATTATTCAAAACCCATACTGAAACAATTACTGTCCCACTACAGAACATTGCAGTGCGCGCTAAGAGATGCATCAACCGCCAAGAATACGGGGCAGTGCTTGTAATTTTTCCAATATTGAAACACCTTCTCACAATTCGTCCTGAATTTGAGAAAATTGTGGAGGGTTGTGATTACAATGTGCGATCAAAATTTGCTTCAATACTTAATACTCTTCATAGTACAGTAAGTAACTCAAAAGAAACCACATTTGCCAAATTTACCTTTTTTATTACATCTTATCCAAAAATAATCTGAATCTATAGGGTGCTAAAGCCTTAGAAGATCTTATTGAAAGCATTCGAGCAGATCCTAGTACTCAACTTCCAAAGGATGGAACTGTTCATGAGCTAACCAGTAATGTTCTAGTGTTCCTAGAGCAATTATTAGACTACACTGATACTATAGCAGGAGTTCTGGAGAAAGAGCCAGCTTATGCAGCTGCTTTACATCATGCTGGTCTTGCAAATAGGCCTGAAAGAGCTCGCGCTCTTCTAGGAATTTACGTCAGTAAGTTTCACACGGGTGGAAATATGTATCTATCTTTACTTTCTAACTTTGTATTATTAAACATGAGTCAAAACTAATTATTTACAGAGAAAGTTGTTTCCCAGTTGAATACAACCTTGTTGAGTAAGAGTGATCTGTATGGGGATGTTGCTGTGCGCTCTGTATTTCGCCTTAACAACAATCACTACGTTCTTAAAGCACTACAAAGATCTGGTCTTGCAGAGCTTGTTCAGCTTACTGAAGTTGACTGTCAACAAGTGTATCATGATATGATTCAACAACATAAGAAGGACTACACACAGAGGTAATATTGAATTTTTCTTCCATAAATTTGTTGAAATGCTATGTGCATATTAGCAACTGAATTTCTGGTTTGTTTGGTTTTTTTTTTCAGTTGGAGTAGGGTGTTGAATTATATTTCCACTGTTGATGATATACCCCATACTGTTCTGCAGTCTGGAAAGTTAAGAGACAGAGACAGAAACACCATAAAAGAAAAATTTGCTGTAAGTTCTGAGTTAAATTTTATCATCTATGTTCCCACGATTGTCCTCTCTTTATAGAGAAAAAAATCTTTTCTTCAGGGTTTCAACAAGGAAATGGAAGAAATGGCTAAAGTTCAAAGGGGTTACTCCATTCCTGATGTAGAATTAAGGGAGAGCCTTAAAAGAGATAACAAGGAATATATATTACCAAAATATAATTCATTTTATGAAAAGTAAGTTGAACAGATCTTTTTGTTTTGTTATTGGATGCATAGTAGTTGTCTGTATCATCACTTGCTTCCACAGGTATGCTAACCTCCAGTTCACAAAAAATCCAGAAAAATATGTTAAGTACACAGGTGTTCAAGTATCTGCAATGATTGATCGCTTCTTTGATGTGGCAGCATGAAAGAAAACCGTGTCATTTTTGAATCTATTATGCATATTTTAAAGGAAATGTTGCAATAAAAACAAAGATGTATGAAGCCCATGTGTTGATAGAGGTATGTGCTCTTTTATTTTCCCACCAGTTACCTCAACGTATTTAAAAAGGGAAAAAGTCGTATAGAAACATACCGATGATGCTATGACAACTGAAGTGCATGACAGTACTTCCTCTTTTGATTGTGATGTACGTTGAACCGATCAAAAACAAAGTAGCAGCAAGGGCAATAGCTCCCGTTAAAGTTTGGCCATTAATATATATCATTCAAAACTGGGGAGGGAATTCTTAAAAATGTTGTTATCTTTGAGTGAATTTTCAAGATTTCACAAGGTGAGCGATGAGTTGTCTACCACTCATGCAGACCAGTCCAAGCATAATGTGAGTAACTCGCACCCATAAGGGTGCAATAGCTGGACTTATTATGTTCAAGCTTAACAACTACGAGGCAAGAAGAACATGACACTCTCTCATTCTCTACCCATTGCTTGCTCAGTGTTGATTTTCAGTGCACGAGAGAAAGGTGAAAATAAAGAGTTTTCGAGGGGGAAAACATGGTTTATTACAAAGGAGGAATACAATAAAACAAGAGATCCCAGACCCAATCCTCAGCACTACAGTTTACTCCAGATAAAAAAAAAATCGCACTAGCGCTTTGTTTAGGGCTGTTTTTTCTTTTAAACAGGCGGTATGGCCTGACAAATGCTGAGCCATGTGATGCAGTCTCATGCCTTGCGTTCAGTCACACTGTTGTTTTCAGTTCCTACTAATGTGGCAGTCAGAAGATATGCAACAACACATATTTCTTTTTTGTCTTCCATTTTGTTTTAAAAGTTCAACTAGAAATTTGAATTTTGATGAAGGCTAGATTGGTTTGAGATTCAGCCACACTGTTAATTGACAAGTTCAATGTGAGGTTAAACATCAAAACATGACAAAAAATATTTATAACAGAGTATAAGCTTTGTTGCCACTAAAAAAAACGTTCTATGTATACCATGATTTAATATTACGTATGAGAGTTTTTATTTTGTTTACTTTTTCTGTAATTCTCGGCTTGCCTGCAGTCACGAGATAAAAAGAGAGCTCCTGTATCATTGCAAATAAAGCTTTCATCTTTCTCATTGCTATTCTTTGCGTCAGTTTTTCTACAATAAGTTCAGCAGCAGTGGGAGTAAAAATAACTATAGTACTGTTACATAGCAATTACATTTTCAAATTTGAAAATACGAGATGTTTATTGTGCTTGCTGTCTGTCATCTCTTTGATGAATATTCATTTTACTTCTGAAAGATGAACCAATTTTAAAATGATATTTAATTTCTTAATTTATGAGTACATAGTGTATAAATGTTAGAATTATGATCACATGTCGTTAGGTAGCAAGACTTCACATTTTTGGAAAAATGGAAATGTTACAAATGGCAATTTTTGAATAACAAATAAATAAAAGCCTGCAACCATTGCTCAGTGTGGCCCTAGCCCCCAAAACTAGAAAAGATTCAGCTCAAATGCTTCAGGAAAACAAAATTTATGAAGCCCTCTGAGCCCTCAAATGGACTGAAGGTAAAAGGGAAGCTTAGAGAAAAACCATTGAATTTCTGTATACTATACTTACAAATATTTACAATACTTCAATAAATAAAAATAATTGTACCAAAAGTGATAAACAAAATACGTATCTGTAGTGCTTCATTGTGGTATTTACAGTACATCCCAACCTCCTGTATTTCTGTTCTCATCAATTAAAACAATAAGGAAGATTTGTATTGTTCAGGGTTTGAAGATATCAGTGAACACTTAATTTGAAGGTTGACCAGCACAGCACATTAATCCTTTTACATCTGGTCAACAAAAAGCTCCTAGTTTATGTAGTTTTATGAAAAACAAATCAATAATGGAAAAAAAATCTCTCTGCAGCAGAGGAGCTTAAGATGTCATTCCCACTCATTTCAATTGTGCTGACTAAAGTTTTCTATAAACTGCATATGAATAACAGATACAAAAATTGAGTGGAACTTGCTGAGACACTGGAGTTTTTTTGTTTTTTTCACCTTGTTGACATTACTTTGTTCGGTCAATCTATTGAAAGCCCAGGGATAGGGAGTTTTCAGATTACCGTCAAGTCAAAATTTAGTGGTTCTGACTACTGACAAAAATTAGATCATCTTGTCATCGTGTTGTTTTTTTGTTGTTTTTTTTTTTCAAGTGTTAAATTGACCCAATTGTGAGGCAGATCTCACTTTTCATAATGTCAATTTGACTAATCTCTCCTGAGTGGCACTCTTCTACTTGCATTACGATGAGAAAAGACCAAGATTTGAAAAAAATTATTCTTGCATGAGAAAAGTACTGCTCACATCATAAGCTGTAGAAATCTGAGAACACCAAGAAAAAACACAGTGTCTCAGCAAAAGGACCAAATCTCCCAGCTTGGGTGACAACATATCTGTCCAAAATATATCTATATATA